CTCAAATTTGGATTGTTTGGTATTGGTTGATTGCTGCTTGAGTGGAACTATGACTACCTTGAAGTTTGAAGTTCCATTATTTGATGGAAGAGCGGACTTCATGTTGTGGCAATGCACGATTCAAGACTATTTGGTCCAGCAAGGTCTTGATTTAGCATTGCAAGATGAGAAGCCAAGTGATATGAAAGAATCAGAGTGGAGTACAATCCAGAAGAAGGCTGCCAGCACAATTCGGTTGGCACTGTCCCCACATATTAAAGTGACAGTGCTGAAAGAGACATCACCAAAGAAGCTGTGGGAAACGTTGGAGAGCAAGTTTGCGTCGAAGACACTTACTAACCGATTGATGATGAGGATGGACTTGTACTCACTGAAGATGGAAGAGGGAGGTAGCGTAACTGATCACATCAACAAGTTTAATGAGCTAGTATCAAGGTTGTTAAATGCAGGGGAGACTATCAAGGATGAAGAGCAAGGGCTGCTTCTACTGGCTTCACTACCAAAATCCTTTAAGCCGTTTGTGCAGTCAATGATAGCAGGAAGGACTACACTGCGACTAGATGAGGTGACGACTGCCTTGAAGGAGAGTCAAAGGATGATGGGAGGTGAAGAGTCTTCCGGAAACAGTCATTTACTAGCTGCTGTGAGTGTTGAGAAAGGGAGGAAGAAGAAGAGTGACCAATTTGGGAGAAGATCTCAGCTGAGAGACATGAGCACTGTTAGGTGCTATTACTGTGAAAAGTTGGGTCACACAAAGAACGGTTGTCTAGAACTCAAGGAGGAATTGCAGATCCTAAAGGAGAAGAAGGGCAAATCGAAGGAAGCTTCTTTCGCAAATGTGATCACTTATGAAGATGATCTCATCTAAAGATAAGAGTACTGCTGGACAGAAGATTCTGCAGGATGGGAGTATCGCTGCAGAAATAGCAAATGATGTAGGACTTTGAATTAAGGAGAGATTTGTTGAGTGTTACTTCAAAGTCCATTGTCTAGATGAGAATATCATGACATTATGCCATTGTCAAACATTTGATCAGGACTTCGCGGATGATATAGACATGGTAGGGCCCATAATAGAGTATTTAAACTGAGTAAAACAGCCACCGCTTTGGATGCCTCAAAGGAGTTCTTCACTATTCACTTTAGGTTGTTGGAGTGTGGTCTTTGTTTTTCATTGCACGAGTTGGTCGTAGAGTACCTCAACCACCACGACCTTCTACCTTGTCATGAGGTCGGAGTTGACCCCTCTCTCGAGCATTTCGTCTTTATGTTCAAGCTATGAGGGGAACCAGGGAATGGGCCTCATACGCTTCCTTATCTCAACGAACCAGCAAGTTGTTCATGAGCAAAAAGAAAGGGTTGAACGAAGAGTGGAAGCCTTTCTTCATCTTCGTCTTTGTCTCTACTGAACTGGAGCCCCCTTTCACGGCTCCAAGTCGTCCCTCCTTCCGTCGAGTATAGTCGCCTGCCTCGACGACCAAGTTGCTAAGCGACGCCAAAAAAACTCTGTTAGGGGCCCATTCGAGGTGTAGAAGTTGGTAATCGAGGAGTCCCTCGCAAATTATGGGTTCAAGTTCATCCAAGGCGAGGATCGACATCAACCAAACCTGCTAAGGGACATCCCTGCAAGGTCCCACGACTTCGGACCCTTTGGTGAGTCTCCCCCGTCTCTCTACATTTAAGTAGCCCTTTAGGTTTTATATGACTACCGGTTACAAACCTCCTTACTTCTGCTATTTTCCTTTGATAGTTGAGAACGTGAACGAAATGGAATATGGCGATCTCCTCCACCAGCTTGCGGAAACAAAAGGAAGAGGAGCGCCATAGCGTAGGGATCAAGGCGACTCTCTAAAGCGTCTAGTCATTTTGGAGAGAACACTCAAAGATCATGCTCATCCATTTTTTAGAAAATGGAAAATGATGATTGATGTTAGGATATAAAACCTTTCAGTCACAATCACAATCTTGAGTTTTTGGTTGAGTTGGTTCATTGACATGGTATCAGAGCTTTGAAAGTATAGAGGCCACGAGTCCAAAATTCAACATCACAAAATTTTAAAAAATTAAAATTTCGCGTGTAAGATTCAAAAAGATAATATTTTAAGCTTTTGGTTGAATCGGTTATGTGTATAGTCGCGGGTCGTGACCTAAATAGCAATTACATAGAACACTACTATTTTCCTTAAGAATGCCCGTGACCATACTTTTTGCGACGTTCCAAACACGGATCGATGACCTTAGTTGGTAGGAACAAATCGCAATCATTTCCTAAACTTATGTTCAGTATGTAGTCTTTGTAATTAATAAAGCATGATGTGAAGAAAGCCTCATGTTGTTTACCAATAAATTTCAATTAGCACTAAAATTATCAAATAAAACTATAAAATCGATTTTGGGAAATGGAGTGCATTATATTCTTTTTTATTCTCAAGGACCAAAAATTTTGTACCAAATTGAGGATGAGAGGTGGTTAGGAGCATAATTGTTACGGCAGCTATGTGAGTCTAAGCGTTAGGGTACTTTCCAATCGCCTAAGCGATTAGGCGCCCACCTAGGCGAGTGGGCTATGACAACTTTATTATTTTATAGGTATTAATGTAAAAACATATAATATGAAATAAGTATTTAAAGAGTACATAAGTACCCAAAAAGGAGTACATATTCTGAAATATATGAATGAATGTTGTTTTTTTTAAATAAAATTTGAAATTATATTAAAAAAAATAAGTATATTTTTTACACAAGTTAGTAAATTAGTGGGCTTTTAAAATTCTTTTAGAGTTAAATCAAATTTGGGCCCAATTCTCATTTAATAAAGAGCTATACTTAATAAGTGCATAGGCCCACTGCTCTTTTAATAAACCCAACCCAAATAAGTTAACCTAAATACTATGGAGAGTTAGGGGTTTAGAGTTGGAAGCCGCTGGATCTCGCGAGTCACGATACTGAATCAGCATCGGTGAGGAAGGTAAAGTCGATCTTCCTCCAATTGTAAGTCTCTCTCCCTTTCTTCTTCTTTGAATCTTCTTCTCCTCCTTCGTCCTCTATCAGGCTTCTTTAAGTCACCTTCTCCCGTGCTTTCCCAAAAAAACTAAGGGCCTGTTGGGAAATAACGTTAGAGATTATCGTTAGCGTTTTGGATAAAATTTTAACAGTGCAGATTACTTTGAAAACGATAACGCTAAATGCTGTCCATAGATAACCTTTTCAAAACGCTAACGCTATTCCCAAACAGGCTCTAAGTGAACAGTTTGGCGTCCATATAACCTCGCCCAAACGCCTAAGCGTCACCTAGGCGACGCCTTGATAACTATTAGTCAGGAGCACCAAATTTTCACTCCCCATTTCCCGGAAGGAATATGTCAAAAATTGATGAGATCACATATCTTCTTGAGATCAACTTAAGGACTTTGTCAACAAATTGATTTGATAACATACTTTGTCAAAAAAGTGATCAGATCGACAAAAATTGATAGTGTACTAGTTTTAGAGGGGTGTATTCAATCCAGATTTTAATAGATTCTGATAGATTATTTAGAATTCATTGATTCTATAAAATCAATGGATTATTTTAAGTCTACGTAGAGTTAGATATATTTTAACTTATTTTTTTGAAGGATTTTTTATGATTCTGAGAGATTATTTATAATCCATGAAATATATATACATTAACATGTTTTCTTTTTTTTCTTTTATCTTTGAATTTTTTTTCTCATGTTTTTCATTTTCCTTTTTTTTTCTTTTTCCCTCCCCCCACGGACCCTAGATTTCCTTTTCTTTTTTCTTTTTCCTTTTTCCCTTCTTCCCCCACAAACCCTAGCCGCTGCTGCGCCGCTACCTTTATTCTTCTTTTTTTATTCTTCTTCTTTCTTTCATTTGCCGGCTCAGCTCCGATCCCACGCCGCCATCGTCGCCACCCAGATTCACCACCATTGCCTCTCTTCTTCTTCTTTCCTCCGATGAGAAATTTTGTTCGGTCGCAGGTAGATTTTCGTCTGATACTCTCAGTTCGCCGGTCGGTTTTCGTCTGCCTTTCTTCTTCTTCTTTCTTTCAATTCAACCTCCTTCGCCTTTGTTAGATCTGATGATCCAACGAGAGGAAACAAAGAGGAAAAAGAGAAAGGATGATGAATAACAGAGAAGAAATAGATAAAAAAAGACAATGGTAGAAAAGAAGAAAGAGAGAGTAAGACAAAATCTCGGTGCTATTGATTGGACTAGATTTCACCCGTGCGATGCATGGTAAAAACATTCTTCAAATATACTCCGTAAATAAACTAATATAATCCATATACTTCTTTCGTTTATTATTCATGTGATTAAATTTTATTTAATTCCTCTAATTATTTTTATTGTTTACTTGTTTAAATAATACTACGTATAATTATGTCATCTTTTATTTCAAAGAAGTTAAAATGTAATTTTCACATGTGTAATTACAAATATCTCAGTCAAATATCGTTAACTGAAATAGAAAGAATAAATTAAAGGGAGAAGGTAGAAGATGACAACATATAGTTAAAAATTGATACTATTGCTTGGAGCGTTTACCCACAAAATACTGTATTTATCCAATATATAAAATAAACTCTCTCTTTATAAAAAGAGATCTTTACATATGATTTTTTGGGTTAAATTGTACCAACTTTTACCATAATTTGCAAAAAAAAAAATTATTTAGCTATAACTTAATTTCAATTGATCAATTTCAAGATGTTGTTTTGACATTACTCTATATCAAATTTTATAACATTTAGTTATGTACAAAGTATAGTCGTACAAATCTATTCTGTTGAATTCATATTTTATGATCAAAATTTCATCACATTGGAACTATGAAAAGTCTAATGTGAAGATTTTTTTGGCACAAAATGAGTATAACAATGTCAATTTTTCATTCTAAAATTAATTGTCAGCACACAAAAATAATATAGTATAATGGAAACTAAATACATCTTAATATCGCAAAGAATTAAAATATATGTGCCAACTCTGAATGAGTAATGCTCTGCATGTTATTATTTCTATTCTATTCTGAAACCAATTGTGATGGGTCTTGAATTGAATAAGCACACACTATTTACTGTGGATATTTTTAGGCAGGAAGTTCTCCTAATGCTATATATATAAGGACTAATAGGAATAACTTAAAATGCAGCAATTTTCCAAAAAAGAGTGTACTACTATGATGTAAATAGTAGCACCAACGCTTCAAACAAATAGCCCCACAATTTCTCCTTGTTTCTACTTGTGACCAACCAATGCTTCCTTCCAGCAAGCACGCAAGCTAGCAGTATATATCTACACAACATAGTACATATGGCAAACATCACTTAAAAAGTTATGATAAAAGTAGGAAGAACATAAGGGATGAGTTTAGTTAGAGAAATAATAAAAATAATTTTAAACCAACAATAAGTAAACCCCATTAGTTTCCAGCATACATAGACAAATTGTTTCATTTTTTCTTTTTTTACCTTCATAAGTTTTAGTTGTTCTCCTTTTGGTTTCTTTGTAAATTCAATGATCTTCCTTCATCAATCTACATAAGTTGCTGAAAAAATACTATATGCTAAACCATAAACAATGGAAAATAAAAATTTGCACAAAAGTTGACATAACAAACCTCTTTTAACAATAGATTCACAGCATGTTTGACTTTAGTTGACACTAAAGTTATTGGATTTTGGTGTTAGATCCGTGCTGGTTCAGCTTTAGGTGATCACGGTTGTCACTCCTCCCTCTATTCTCTGTGGCCTCTGATCGCTGCTGCACCTTCTCTGGAAAAATAGTTTGACTTAGTTTATTTATGATTCAAGAAGAGAATAGTTGGGCAGAGAAACGAACTTTGCACATATGCTCATTCTCACTGTAAAAATAAATGATGGAGTACACATGTTGGTCCGACCATGCTCCATCTTCCAAACAAAACATCCTAACAGATATATCTTAGGGAGAAACTTAAGCAAGCTAAACAATGCAAATGAAAGCAGCCAGATGAGTATTTAAAAAAACTCAAATGTTTAGGCAAGCTCCAAAAGCTCAACAGACTAAATAAAATGGCTACTATTTATGAGGCAATACAGCTGAACAAAAGGACATAAAAATAGAGAAAGTTAAGACCCCTTTTAGCTTCAAATAGCACTTCATAAATACCATCAAAAAATTTTGTATCATGTCTTACAGTCTTTTGAATTTGTTTCAAACACTAAAATAAGAGGTTTCGTCATCAAAGCTGTTAATTTCTATTACACTTAGCATCCCATCTGTTAGACGGGCGCTCACTCTGGAGAGTAAGAAAGAAAGGCATAGAGTGCAAAGTAAAAAATGAGATAAAGTGATAAACATAGTATTCAATACCAAAATTTCCTATCAGCTTGATACAAAGTTATTTCATGCATTTTGTTCTTCTATGCAAATTTTATTTTGAATAACAAATAAAAAGATCGAAGAGATCTGAAGAGTGCACATACTCTGATACCACAACAAAATTACAATAACACTTTTATAGCCCAACTCCTAAAGTCTTCCGTTTAATCCTTGCAGAAACATGCTCTTAATAGTTATTATTGCTTACTCACTTTGTAATTTTCTCGGTACCTGCAAGCTACTGTGCAATATTAGAAATTTCTATTAAAAAAATACAATAGCTAGAAATCACCATAGCTGAAATGAGGGTAATCAATTTGCATAGTATCATAGAAAAAAATGTTTGACCTAAATTGAGCTACACAACCTATAAAATTGATAGATTGGATGACATCAAGCTCCAAAACTGCCTTTATAACACATCCTTCAATTAAAATGGGGTACAAAACTATTTATATCTCTCTCAAATCTTTCAAGTTTCAATACCCTGAACATGTAATGAAAAAAATAAAAATGAATAAAATAATTGAAAAGGTATACTCTATATGTGATTAAGTGACTATCTAATTTAAATTTTTAGATCTACTCATGCATCTACATAGCAACAACGGTAGATAATCAGTCTTGCTGCATAGTAGATTTTTAAAGCTCTCCATAGCGGGTGGTTTTGAAATAGATGCTGAAATTCACATCTGCATAATAGTCACATAAAAGACATCTCCAAAATTACAAAGCCACATAAAAGGCAATGTAAAGTGAAAAATAAAGAAAGTTTACACAGAAAGAATTCTAACATTTGAGAGTGATGAAAACTTTCACATAGTGAAACAATGTGGTTTTCTCATATTCCAATTAATCAGTATATACTTCTTAAATGAGCCTGCTCCATCCACAGTTCCGATGAATCTAAAAATAACTTGAATAATTCAAATTTCAATAAACAATTGACTATTTTCAATAAGGAATATAATAACAGCAGTGAAAAAACATATCTATGGACACATTAAGAAAATTGATTCACATCATTGAATAAAGACGGGGAAAGATTACCTCCGTAATAGAGCTTCCTCGGATTTTTAGACTTGGATGAAAGACTAATCTAGTGCTTACAGGAACCCGTCGAAAAGATTCATCAATTTTCTCCTTTGTGAGGCCCTTTCTCTCAAGAAAAGAACGCTTATACATGACTGGAGAACCCTTAACTTTTGGATCTGCTAGAAACTCCACAGCATTCTGTACTTGATCCTCACGAATTGGTTCTGAATTTACAAATACGGATGGTGAATGTTTCTCCTTTGCAGCTTCCAGATTTGAACTTTGAATTCCCTCGGCAGATTGTTGTACAGACTCTGAAGCTGTTAAAAGGTCAAAAAACTCATCATCTAGTTGCATCATGAAAACATGCCAAATACATAGGTATGAAAGCTGTAATATATTACTCACTCCATCCCAACAAAAAAAAAGGCAAATTTAAATGTATGGCAAGTGGCAACAAATACTCCAACAAAGAAATATAATGTAATTTTTATTTATTTGTTGATCAGGATTTATCCAAATTTTTACAAATACTCCGTCTAGTAGAGATGGAGGTAGTATATCAACCCCTAATCTTCTTTTCTAACTTAATTTACACAATACTCATAAGAGAAATCTCAATCAAGAATCCAATTATTCATCAATTTCAAGAGCACAATTAGAGAACTTCAAATTCAGAAAAACGGAAAATCCAGTGATGTGATCGGAGAAAAAAACCTGCGGAATGAAGTTTGTTGTCGATTGAGTTAGGGGCGAGTATGGAGAGAGAATAAGCCGAAAATGAATTGAATTTGGCAAATATGTCTTACCCGTAGAAGTTGAGATGCCCTTCTTCCGTAATATCATTGAATCTGTGCCCCTATCTATAGATGATGTCTGAATGTAATTGTCAATTGGTCGAAACCCTAACCCGTCGTTGTCGCCATCATCGATCGGCAAAGTTACTCCCTCTCTCTGCGTTGAATACCTTCTAGCGGTAGGAAATTTCCTAGGCTCAGGCAGCGCATTTGATGGGGAAGAATAAAAACTGTGAAATTTGATGGAAGAAAAAAAGGACTCTGACTCTCTAGCGTGGTGAGATCGTGGGAAGGTTGGGGTAAAAGCAGAATGGTAACTGTTCCAGCATAATTTTTACTGCTGCGGTTGTAAATGGGAGGATTTGCAAACAAGATTTTTATTTATACTTCAGCTCAAAAATCCATCACAATCCATATTTTATGACAATCCTTGAGAATCTATCAATTTTTTAATATCATTAGATTTAATAAGAGTTTTCAAAATCTTAATTAAATACCTCTATATTTTAAACGATTTCCCAAAATCCTAATTTGAATACCTGCTGATTTTTAAAATCCAAAAAACTCCAACAGATTCCTAATTGTATACACCCCCCTTAGTTTTTGTTGTGGGTAATTCGAGCACAACTCCGAACTACTCCCTGCTTCCTATTTTTTTTCCTTTTGAAGAATCTGCAAAAATTATTTATTTTAAAATAAATCTATTTACAATTTGGCATAAAAATAAAAATGACGATATACATATTTAAAAATCACATAAAAATTTTTATAAAATAAGGAGTGACAAATAAGTTTTGAATTATTAAATGACTAAAGAAATAACGTGCACGAACAAAGGTTATCAAAAAATATCTCAATTGTGAAACCCAAAGTTGGCATGCAACAAAGAAACATTACAAGTAGTAGATCCAAATTAAACAAAAATAAAACCCATGTGTTAAGAAGCCCATCTTATTCTCAATTTATATAAAGAAGTCCATTTCATTCACATCTCAACTTTGCTGTTCAGACTTCAACGTTCTACGTCAAATTTATTTGGCTTCTCTAATCGGGTATTAATTCTTTGAAAACTATATACTCCCTCCGTCTTTAAATAAACTCTCTCTTTCGTTTTTTCTTTGTCTCCAAATAAATTTTTCTTTTCCATTAAAAAACTCATTTTACCTCTTACTTTTTCATACCCTACCTATCACATCATATCTTTTTACTAATAATCTACCTATCACATCTTACTTTTACACATCACATCAAGGATATTTTTGGAAAATCAACACAAAAATATCCCTCCCTTAAATCCTCAAAAAGTCAAAAATGGAAGTTTATTTAGGGACGGAGGGAGTATTATATATACAGAGTTTTTTTATAGAAATTACCCTAAATAGGACTAAAATATAGAGAAAAGTACCAAAATAGGACTTTCATGTTTTTTTCCGAAATATGATTTTGCACTGTAGTAATGTAACTTTGCATTGTGGTAATGTGGCAATGTAAATGTGTACATTACTATCTTTTTTTTGGTAATGTATATGACCATGTTTGGTAATGTACGTAAGTCATATTTTGGGAATAAAACATGGAAGTCCTATTTTAGTATATTTTCAATGTTTTTGTCCTACTTTGGTCTTTCTCCTTTTTTTTTACATATGGCCTGTTTGAGAATAGCGTTAGAGATTAGCGTTAGCGTTATGGATCGGATAAAATTTTAACGGTGCAGATTAGTTTGCAAATTCTAACGCTAAAAGCTCCTCGTAGATAGCATTTTCAAAACTCTAACGCTAATCGCTAAAGCTATTCCCAAACATGCCCATAGAGAATACTCCGAACCCTACGTTCCTAAAAAAATTTCCTTCTTTCATCAAAGTGCCAAACCTTGTGACTTTTAAAATGATTTTATTTGCAAATTCGTAAAGAAATAAAAATTAAAAATTTATATTTAAAAATTATACTCCGTGTAAAAAACTCTACAAAATAAGATGTGACAAAAGTATTTTATATCATCAAATGATCAATGAAATTATACAAACAAACCAGAGTTATCGAGAGACCGTAATAGTAAATATGTAACTCTTTTAGGGACGGAAGGAGTATATAATACACCGTAGAATGTAAGTTCAAAATAAACTTTTAAATTTCCTTTCTTGATTGTCTCAAAATAAGTAACTAATCACCTCGACATTTTTTTTCTACGGAGTATATAAGAATGAAATGTGGTTCCTCTCTCTTTTATAATTAGATTTTAACGACCTAGTTTTTCTTTTTAAATACTTTTTAAACTTTTATTAAGTCAACCAACAATCTCATTTCGAATAAAACTAGGGTTCTAAACAAACTGAATTGATATTAATCGTATTCTCTAGTTTTAGTTGGTATTCAAACTCCAATTCAATTTTAATATTTTAATAGCTAGATTCCTAATCGACTATTTGAATATCATACATAAGATGTTTAGAGCACTAGCAATACTGGGCACCAAAAAATCGCCACTAGTACATATCAGGGCAAAGGAATCGGTGGTTTTCCTCCTTTTGCATCGGTTCTATACCGATGCAAATGCCAGCGGTGCATTTGGTCTAGTTCAATTGCATCGCTTTGAAAACAACTGATGTCTTTGCTATTTTTTAAAATTTAAAAAAAAAGTATTAGCATCGGATCGGTTGTTTCTAAACAACTGATGCGTTTGCTATATTTTGTTTTTTAAATATTCATAAAAAGGGGTATTGGCATGCATCGGTTGTTTACAAAGAACCGATGCCTTTGTTATATTAATTTTTAAAAAAATTATTAGAAAAGTGTATTAGCATCGGTTGTAAAGAAACAATGATGCCTTTGATATATTTATTTTTTAAAAAAATATTTAGAAAAGAGTATTAGCATCGGTTGTTTCTAAACAACACATGCCGTTGATATATTTATTTTTTAATAAATATTTAGAAAAGAGTATTAGCATCGGTTCTTTAGAAAGAACAAATGTCGTTGATATATACTACTGAGTAGTATATTTTTTAAATTTTTTTTATTAAAGTGTATTAACAGCGGCTGTTCAGAAAGAATCGATGCCTTTGCTTTATATTAACTTTTTAAAAATATTTAGCAAAGTGTATTAGCATCGGTTCTTTACCGATGCCTTTGATCTATTAAATTTTTTTACATATTTATAAAAAGGTGGAACAATATTACAAAGTCAAGCATCAATAACAGAAAGTTAATACTATTACACATAGCTTTAAAAACCGGACCAAACCGGCCGGTTCAAACCGTGAACCAGCGAACCAGTGGTCCAATCGGTCCGGTCCGGTCCGGCCCTTTGGACCGTAACACGCATCGAACCGGTGCGAACCGGTGGGAACTGGTTTAAACCGGCCGGTTTGACCGGCCGAACGAGTTTTTTTTTTTGCGATTTTTTCCAAAACATGCAACCATGGGGGTTTGAACCTAAGACCGCTTTGTCATTTGGTTGAATTTCTAACCATCCAAGCAAAGATGTTTTTGTTACAAGTTCACTTATTCTTTTATAATATTTCATAATTAAAAAAAGATTGTATAAAACTTTCTTTTTAATTTTAAAAATTTAATATTATATAGCTATGAATCAAACACAAAAGCATTGATATTATTACAAAATGAATATCATGAAAAAATTTCATTTAAGGTTTTTTTAATATTAAACAACTTATTTGAAAAAATAAAATCAAGTCTTCATTTATAAAATTTTAAATATTCTTTTTCTAATATGTAAATTTTATTTTTTAACTTAGTAAAATAACTCAAATATTTTAATATAATTTTAGTCAAATGTTATAAATTACTTTCTTTAGATATTTATAAATGAGAAAGTGTGTGTGTCTATATGTATGTGTTTATATATATATATATATATATATATATATATATATATATATATATATATATATATATATATATATATGTATATGTATGTATGTATGTATGTATATTTATTTATTTATTTATTTATATAATTTTTAAAAATATTTAAACTACCGGTTCGATCAGTTGAACCACTGGTTCGACCAGTGAACCAGTATTTTAACCGGTTCGATCACCAGTCCGGTTCTGAAAACTGTGCTATTACACTTTCACACATCATGCAGCCGTACATATAAAAGATAAAAGTCTTAAACATTCAAGACACTTCAAATTTGATTGTATACATACACTAAAATATAAACACTACTTACTCCGTAACATATTACACAACATACAACACAAAGTTATGAACATATGAGGTACCGAAGTCAGAGGTACCGAACACATAAAAATATAAATTAATTGCGATCATATATTTTGTTTAAACCCCATTTAATAATTTTAAGAAAACTTTAGGGAGTTTTAAAAAATCCATTTTACAAAAATAAGAAATCTCTCTTGATAAGAGTAAAAAACTATAAAAATATCAAAATAGAAGTCCTAAATCTTTTAAAATTAAAATAGCTAGGATCATAATGACAGTGTGGTATAAAAGTACTTGTTAGTAGTGTGATGGAAAAGTTATGAAAATGTAATATGTCAGTGAGTTGATTCAACCGTCGGCGATCTGCGGTCGCATTCTGGTGGCCGCGACGGATGACATTGTGGCGGTAACAGTGTGGAAATTACAATGTGACAATAGGGGGAGTATGGCAATGTAACAAAGACAGTGTGAACTTTTATTTTGGTCTTAAAAGATTTGTGACTCCTATTTTGATATAATCATACTCCCTCCGTTCCATAAAATCCTTCCCCTTTCGTTTTTTTCAAATTCCATAAAACACTTCCACTTTCTATTTAAAAACCACTTTTACCCTTATTTTTTCATATCCTAGCTATCACATCATACTTTTTCACTAATAACCAAATTATCATATCTTATTTTTACTTATCACATCAGGGGCAAAATTGGAAAGTCAACAAAAATTACACTTTTCTTATTTTGGCCTAAAATCAAAACGGAAATGGTTTTAAGGAACGAAGGGAGTAGTTCTTTACTCCTATCTAAGGAGTTTTCCCAACAAAAATTATCTTTTTTCGAAAATGTGGTTTTCAAATGGGTGTGAAAAAATATAAGAGTATGTTGTATTACTTGTAAATATTACTAATTTAAATATGTTTTTAATTTTTATTTTTTAAAAATAATTAATTAAAAATAATTAAATATTTTAAATATCAATAGTTTAAATTGAGATGTGATATGACTTGTATTCCAAATTTTTCGGTACCAAAAGGGATGAGGCTCCATATACCAAAATGTCACATAGACATAATTTGATACCAAATTAATTTTACGAAAACCATATCGTCCACCCTAATTGGGCAATGTAGGTACACCAACGGGAGCCAGTGTAATGTTGTAGAAAAT